AGTCAGCTGTTAGATCAGGACAATCAGATCGAATGGCAGCAGATGTTGAATTTGATATGTGGAAACGTATTGTTACAAATAAATGGACAATGAATGAAAAGGTATTATTTTTTAGAAGTGATATAGAACTTTTTGGTTTCTTGCTCATTAACAATGTTCGTAGTTTTTATGGAAAACAAACATGTTATACGCTAATATTATTCATAGGATTTTATTCTACATTTTTCTTTTAATATTTTATTATCGAATTTGGATAAATGATATTTATAAAGATGTGTTCATCCTATTGAAAAATACTAGTTTTAAATATTGTCATTGTTGAAGTTAGCATGTAGACATGCACAGAAATTGTTTAGGTCTTTTTTACCTAATGATACTAGAGAAACTCAGAGAATCTTCGACTGCGTGCTAGAATCAATCAGAAACCTATTGGGTTATTTTGTTTTTAATTTCTTTTCAATCTCTTATTAAACCAAACGGTTCATTGAATTTCTATATTTGTGGTGCAACAAGTTTATAATCAATGAGATAAGTTTGAAATACTCAAATTCTGTTATTAGATTTGAGTGTATGATGCTGCAGTGAAGTCAATAAACATATGCAGAACTCGAGCTAAGGATTGGTTCTTGCTTTTAGATAATATAAAAAAAATGTTCGAGGTTAAGGTAAAATATTACACTTATTTTGTTGTTTTTGTTTTTAGTTTTATATTCATCTTTATAATGAACATATATGTTTACCAACTCGTTTAACACGTTCACTTCATAATGATATGTATAATTTTTATCTTTCAACAGAAAAATGGTCATCATCAACAAAAATTCTTTTAATTGAATTAGATTTTATTTATTTATTAATTCATGATAATGTATTTCTTGGTTGTAATCATATTCTAACAGCACTTACAATTTTTACTCTTGATGATTATATTGCTTTAACAAAACATAGTCAAATAAATTCATTGAATTATCAAACAAAATTAATAACATCAATGAATACACCAGAAAAAATGAAAGTATTTTTAGATTATTATCCTAATGTTGATTTAGCTGAATTAATATTGGGTAATAGTGAACTTTATCAACAACGAATACCATTAACAATATTTGATAGACTTTTAAAAATGGAACCATTTTATTATGAAACAATCGATTATACACCATTAGAAGAAGTTCCAAATTTTACATCGACAAATCCCAATGTTCGACCAGCAAATATGTTATATTTATTTCAAAAACTTATCTGTAATGGAGCTAAAGTATGTAATCATAAATTCTTGTTATAGAAACATATTCGAGAAGACATATAAATAAAGTCATTCTCAAGCATCTATCTCGAGTCAGATCGTGAGCAAAATTATCGACAATAATTTAGATTGACTATCTTTTATACGATACTCCTAAAAACAAAAAGACCTAAGGTCATTTTCTAGTACACGTCCTTAATAATTACCAGTTTTCATTCAAGCTGTTGAAAGCAATAGAGACGTTCATCAAGATTCTTTCAATCTATAGATTTCTGTATGAATTTGAAATGATTCTATGAGAAAGACTAAACATCGCTCGGGAATACAGCACCCCTCTTAATTCATTGGTTCTAAAAAAAATTGAACTTTAATTATGATACTGATATTAAAATATATATAGTTTTCAGAATTTCGAACTGCAAATCTCCGTGATCAACATTATTTTTGGACGTCTAAAAATCACTTGATAAGTCTGCAAAGTTGCTTTGCTTTCCTCAAACAACCTTCTTAATTAGAAATTATGAAAATGGATTGACCTCAATAGAAGACTTTCCCATTTTAAAACTGTGTATGCTTCGACATAATCGAAAGGGTTCTGAAATTTCGCCAATTGCACTGTGAACTAGATACAAATTCAAAAAGTTCCTATAGACTACATTGATGAGTGCAAACTATGATATGAATATTATTTTGTAACAGTTTGCGAAAGTCTTATTGACGAAGTTCCGTCCGCTCACTAGAAGATCTAGTGTCTTCTATTGCTGGGAGTGATTTACTTAAATCATTAAAAATTTATCTTCAGATTATATGTAATAGATTTCAAAAAAAGAAAACGAATTCTTATCGTTGCACACTTTATTTTCTGTTGGAATAAATATCGATATTGATAGTAATATTTTGAGAATAAATAAATTTCAATGAAATATAAAATAATCAATTAGACTTCTTTCTCTTATAGGTTTCAATAAATCTTGATACTGCTTATTATCAAAATCATCGTATTCCATTTTTTGTTTCTACACTTGGTTTTTATCTTCTTTCAACAATTCGTTATCGTGACGTATTTATTGTTCCTTCACCTGATACAGCAAATGATAGTGATAATGATATTTTATTTGATTCATTAGCAACACCTAAAATAGATCAAAATCTAAGTCCAATCTTTCTTGATTCACATAATAATAATTATATTTATTATCTTATAAAACGTGCATCAACATTTTCTCCATTATTTAGATCATTTTTTTTCAATCATTTATATTTATGTTGTCCATTATTACATAAATCCCAATTTATAAATCATAAAAATTCTATAAAAAATGTCCGTCTACGTTCATTATATGACGAAATATTTGAACAACGAACATTTACACTTAAACAACGTTGTCGATTAATGATTAAAGAATCAATTAATAAATATCCATTAGATATAAAAAATTTAACACAATTACCATTAACGCTTCAATATTATTTATCATTTGATTTTTTAAATCCAAATTTTGTTCAAATAACTTTAGATAAATTAAATAATGTCAATGGAAGAATTAAACCATCATTTTTTGATGAATTACAATTTCATGAACATGGTCTAGAACAAATTAATGGACATAATGATTGGGAAGATCAAATACCTGAAGATGTTGATTATGATAATGAACATGATCATGATGATGAACCGGTAAAATAATTTTCTTTTATATAAATATGTTTCTACTATTGTTTTATTTTGTTATTCTAGGATTATGATGACAATGATGAAGATGCTGATCTTTTTGACGAAGAAGGACTTTATTCAGATAATAATGAAGACGATGAATGGTGATTGATTTAGAAAGTCAGATTAAATAAAGATTTGTTTGTAATATAATTGCATATTGCTTTGTTTTGAAGAAAAACTTTTTCTGCATCGTGTTTTCTTTCTATTTGTATTTGGACGGAGAAGAATATATAATAAACTTTTGAATTTTAAATACTCATATTTTATATGGTTTTAATAAGTGTCTATTTATGTATGACAGTATCCGATATGAATACTATTCGATGACTAACGAGGAAATGATTCTCAGTGTCAAATTACTTTTGAGTCAGGACCATGCGCATCATGTAGGTTCTAATAACCGATAAATACTTTGAAAAGGGTTCAGGCTAATAGCTAGTTACTGCTGAGTTACTGTCTTACGGTACACTGATGAAAATAGTTTATTATCAAAGTTTCAAATCTTTTGATTGTTTTTATCCTAATATACGGCTATAATATAAGTATGTTTTTCACGTCAGTTATATATAATGGTCAATACCGATGTTCTTATCACAGAATAGGTGCAATTAAAAAATCTGAAACTTTCACAATAAACTATTCTTATTAAAGTCTGGCTCTATGCAAAATATAAAGTTGAAATTTGAAATTCAGTTTTCCTGATGTGTCTAAGGAGAACCACAGACGGTAAAAATACAATATCTTGTCAAAAATAAGCTATCAACCGGAACTCATCTCAAGGCAGTCAAAGCTCATTAGACCCTACATGTTGCATACAGTTCCGACTAAAAAGCAATTTGGATACTAAAAAACGCTTCCTCGTAAGTATTGTCTTATGCAGAGTATTATTAGAATGATTATTGAATAGTTCAGTGGATGAATATTTAAATTTTCGACTTACGAGAGAAGTCTTCCAATTGATAAATTTCTTTTGAGTAGAAACTACGCGCATTATGTAGATCTAAACGAACTATGAACATTGTCAAAAGACTTCGTGTTGTTAACGTATGGTTGCATACATATTACATTTTTAAGGTATTGTTTAACAGAATGTTGCGATTTACGCCGGGAACACCAGGAAAATTGATTTTCGATTTCCCCTCAAAACTTTGTGCAGAGACAGGCCTTAACAAGAACGAGTAGTTTAGTTTAAAAGTTTCAGGTCTTTGGGCATGGTTCTATCATGAAATAAGAATATAGAATCTGCCAGTTTATATGAGCGATGCAAAAAACAAGCTTTTACCACAGATATATTTTAGGATAGGAACAACAACTAAAAGATGTGAAATATTCATAAAAAACTATTTTCTCTAAGGTATATCTTCTTGCAAAATTTCAATTCGAAATTTGACAACTCCTTTTCTTGATGTTTCTGAAGGGGATTACGGTATTCAATTAAAAAGTATCATAAAAGTGTAGTATCTCCGCAGCAAAGACCTTGAAGTACAAACTCTGTTCAGTGCATTCAAGGTGCATTTATAGGTCTGTATAATGCATGTTGTCTCGACTCAAAAGTGATTGAACAGCTGGAGATATTTCTCTCGTTAGATTATCTTTTAAAATACTCCTTGTAAATACATACGAATATTGTAACACTGTACGGTGATATACAAACACAATATGTCAAATTTATTCAATTATCAGTATAGATAAGAAAATGATTGATCAGAAAAATTTGAATGCTATCAATAAAATAAACTGCAGTGATTTGATCATCAGTTTTTTGAATGACATTAAATAAAATAACAAGTGTTGTATTATGTGATATTCCATAGCAGCACCTTTCGTATTCAACAACAACAAAAAATTCGAAGTCGACTTAACAATTCCAAAAGTCGGTATTTGGCGCTATCTATCATAAATAGCGGTCTAGATTACGTCATTGATTTGCTTATCTTTCAATCGGACCGTTGAATCTATCATATCTTATCTTAGCTGAAGAAAATTTCAAAAATAAAATCATTCTTTTGTTTTTCTCTTGAGTATAAGATTCAAATAATGTCTAACGTAACATCATTATCACCCGATAAAAACAAAAAACGCCCATCTGTTTCTTCGAAATGTTTACTAAATATAAAATCTATCGTTACTCAAAATGTTTCTACAAATAGTAACCATAAAACTGCATGTCTATGTTCACCAACATCCATACTTGCACCATTGCCATTAGTCGATCCATTACTATCATCAAAAGATTCTATTAATAATTTAAATAATACAAAAGAAATTGAAGAAAAAAATCAAAAAAAATCACAATCATTTCCAAATAAAAATATTCTTATTGAATGTATACAAAAATCTGATTTGAAAAAAATATCCGATAAACAAATTACAACGAAAAAGTAAAATTCAATTTTTAAACAAAACGAAACTTTCCATTTAGCTTTTCATCTTTTCTATAGTGGACATAATCAAACACAATTTGAAAATAGTAAATCACAATCAATATCGACTGAATTACCTCAAGTACCGATCGATAAAACAAAACAAGAAAGTAAGTCGAATAAATCAATTCTTATTTGAATATTATGATTCAATTAAAGAATTGCCGTCAAGTATACCTTCTAACATTTCTAATGAGTCAAATTCTGAACAAAATTTATCTCAAAAATGTAAGTATATTAATATTAAATAAGAGCTTTCGTAGGTTTCTTAGACAAAACCTTTTTAATCATAAAAAATAATCATACATCACTTGGTAATTTCTTTACTATATTGCTATTGGTCCATGGAAAATAATAATGATTCTTTATTCTCTTATCTATGCATATGTATACCGATATGTTTACATTTTTTTTTCTCTTTTGAATAATCATTCGGACTAAAATAGCTCTGTGTACTGTTCATTGTCTTTTATCTTCGGTAGAATCACAAGAAAATAAACGGTAGGATCGTTTATATATACTGTCGGACATCAGTTTAGACTAGTTATATTCTTAAGTTTTCTTCTCGATGGTAATAGCTAGAAAGGATCTGAAAAAAACATTTGAATTGCTAAAAAGATCCTATATTAGAATGAGAATGTCTGAAAAGCCAAAACTCCCGAAACAAGTTTTCCGACATCGATTGGAAGTTTTTTGAAACCAGTTTTATTTGATAGAGCAAAATGAGATATGTCTCCTATCGCTCTCTATGATATTCCTTTATCGAATTCAATTCAACTTACAGAAGGCATCTAGACGCATTTTTCTTCTGTTTGCATAAAACATTTCAATAATGTCGTCTTTTGCTCTATCAAATAACAGTATTCGCTAAAGACTTCAAATAGATGTCAGAAAATTAGCTTCGGGAGGTGTTGGGTTTCCAAAAATTCTAATCGAAAGTCATTTTAGCTGCATAAATACATTTTCAGATTTCTCCAAACTATTAACATCGAGAAGAAAACTTAAAAATACAACTGCTGTAAACTTATGTTCATTTCTATATGGTAGAAGGAATTCTTAAAAAATATGATGTTTATGATTGATTTAAAAAATGAATTGAATTTAAATTTATTTTTTTAGTGATAAAATCCTTCAAGTATAATCTCAATGGAAAAGACAAAAGTCTTAAATTTTGCAAAAAAATATTATAAAATTTTTATTTCAGTTTTACAAATGAACAAGAACGAGCCGTCTGCCATTCCACCACTTCCATTAAACTGTTCTATATATCCTTTTGATTCATCTTCGTCTTCTAATCGTACGAAACCATTATCATCATTTCCTACGCAATCATCAAATCGTATTAATGAAGAATATGTAACACAGATGAACCATATTATTGAATCATCTAATAATTTAAACGAAACTAAGTCCAATGAACGATCTATTCTTCATTGTCAACCAATACCTATACATAGGTTTGATTCAATATCACCAAGTATTTCTACGTAAGTTTAAACAAAACGACATATAGAATGTTTCATAAGTTGTGAAGCGCGATAAATATTAGTTTATATGCAGAGAGCGACTAATCACTAACGTCGTGTTTTTATATGAACCTTCGTGTCAATCTTTCAAGTGACATATTATTGGATAATATCTTGTGTAATAATGTGATGATAGATTTTTCGCAATCAATCAGCAAGATATGTTATTTAAAAAAAAATGAAAAAATCTCTGATTTTAATCTGATTATACAAAAAGTCTCATTTAACCTCAGTGCATTTCAAAAGTTTCGCACAACTTTTTTGTTGTAAGTCGTATATTTAAACTAGACAAAATTATTTGAATCCGACTATATGTCTGTATAGTAGAGATTGAATACTATATATATACACAGTTGTTTAATACAATAAAGTCTTGAATAAAAAAATGCAATAAAAAAAAAAACTTTAGTGCTGCGAAAAAAATAACAAAAGATTAGGTTACCTTTTCAGAATTGAGAAACCAAATATACCATGCTATAGAGTAAGTCGAGGCACATCGAATGATATATCGTAAATCTTATTTTCATAAGGTTTTGAAGAAACTAGAATTAATTTACTGATAGATGACTATGCACCCAAAGTATGATCAGCTACTAATCATATTTGGTTCTTGATGTTAGTCGAAAGTGTGTGTAAAAAAATTTTCTTATTTAAAATTTTGTAGAAATTTCCACAGGCTATTCAGTAATGTGGTAAGTCTTTGTGTCTTCAATAACGTCGTCGACAGAAGATATGACCAGACGCCAAACTTTCTTTGATATTACCCACGATAAAGTACTACAAAACACACTATTTGAAAGTTGAAGTGTAAATGTGGTTGAAAGAAAGACCCACAGTGCGCTGCTTTATCCTCTCAATTTTGAATTGGTGACCTAATCCGATAGAGTGCTTCGTAACAATAATATCTTTTTATCTTCTTTTCTGTCATTTGTTTTAGCATTGAGGGTTTTTTATCGAATTAAACAGGTATATATAACTATTACTCGATCTTTATCATGCAAACATCTAGCCGCATTAAATTAATTTTGTGTATTTGAAATTCAGGAATCAAAACAAAAAAGTCGTGCAAAAATTTTCACGTACACTGAAGTTAAATGAGATTTCTTTTATAATCAGATTAATATCAGAGTGTTTTTCGATTTTTTTTAACAAAAAATATCTTATTGATCGATTGCGAAAAATTTATCATCACATTATTACAGAAAAATATTTTATCCAATAATACATCATTTTAAAGATTGACACGAAGATTCATATCAAAACATTAGGTTAGTGATTATTCTCTGTCTGCATATAAACTAATATTTGTCGCGCTTCACAACTTATGCAAGATCTTATTTTATGTTTTTCTCTTTTTTTTTCAGTATTGATGAAGATGAAGATGAAGATGATTATATTAATTTAAGTCAATCAATTATTATTGTTAATAGTTCATTAAATTTACCAGTAGATCCAATAACTTCTAATCAGACTATAACAATGAAACCACGTTTAAGTGAATGTACTGTAAAACAATATCATAACAATCGAAAAGTAACAATGAATAATTACGAAGCAAGTCCACGTTTTCCAAAAAATTATACTCGTTTACCACATTCATTACGTAATATGAATTCTTCATTCAATCATCCTTCACAATTAGGAAAAATTCGATCACCAACATTTATGAATCCTCCTATCCGTCGTCAAGTTCCTCAATTTGAATCTGTACGTACACCTGTACAAAATCCATCAATGATAAAACAAGAATCTCCATCTACAACAATACCGTCAGAAGTATTCGATTGTTGTCAAACGTAAATTTTAAAATTTTTCTTTTATCAAATGTATAAGTATTTAATTAAAACTATTTTCAGTAAAACAGTTTGCTTAACAACAGAAATAATTACAACACAACGTAGTGTTAATCAAAGAAATTCTCAACGACAAACAACAACAATTGAAACTGGCTTAAATGAATCCGAAGCTCGTTCGAATTATTTTCGTGATGTAGCAAAAATACGTGAAATAATGACTGATGTATCGAAACGATTAACAAAAGAAAATGATTCAACAACAAAACTACCTATTGTTGATACTCATTGTCATTTTGATCTTATTTTTGATCGGTAAAGATTAGTAATAAAAAATAATTTTTTTGTTTTCTTTTATTCGAAATCTTCCTTTTTAGTCTTCATATTAAACATAATAATTTAAAAAAATATTTTACTGATTATAATGAATATTATCCATTGGGTCTTTCATTTGAATTAGCTATTCAAGTTTTTTGGCGACCAAAACATTTAGCTGAAAGTAAAATTTTTCTATTTTTAATTAGATTCATATATATATATGATTAGTCTATTTATATAGATAATTGGATAAATTGGTATTCAAGATATTTAGATGATGAACGTGTTTATGGTTCATGTGGTATTCATCCACATTGGAGTTCAGCATGGAATGAAACATCGGTTGACGATATTGAACGATGTTTAAAACATCCAAAAATTGTTGCAATCGGAGAAATTGGTTTAGATTTTGGACCGAAGTAAAATTATTTAGATTATTATTTGAATAAAAAAATTTTCTTATTTTTAAATTTAAGAAATACATGTTTAATACATGAACAACGTCGAGCTTTTGAAGCACAACTTAAATTAGCTGCTAAATGGTTAAAACCAATCGTTATACATTCTAGAGATGCTTATCAAGAAACATTTCAACTTATGAGACAAGTAAATAATCGTTTTCAATCTTCACTCTTATATCACTATCTGAAGTCTACGCAGACTTTAGACAATTTCATTTCGATGCTGTGCATTTATAGTATTAGATCGAACTTCGTCCTTTGAGATATGTCTCATGAAAGATAATAGAATATACGGATGACATGAGTTGATCGGTTTCAAACACTATTAATATGATATAGTAGATCAAAGTACATGTAAACGCTTCTTCGCCATCTAGAGTCTGCCTAGAATCCATATCATGCTTTTCGTTTCTATATCAACATTTCACTTCGAATATGATCAAAAGTTCCTACTGATTGTGTTAGTTGCCATGTTCCTTATTGTTTGGATCATCACAAAATTATTTGTGGCGCATGTTTGAAAAGGTTTTAAGAATATGTGAAAAGAATGAGAAGAAAATGAAAAAAGATTAGTAAACAGTACTTAGATGATTATGTATCCTATCACTGAAATAAAACTCGTCAATATGAAGTACATCGATATGAAAATCGCTAAATATCTTTCGATCATCTATGCTCATGAGTTTCATTTCGGCATCATTCTTTATGTTCACTCATTCTGAATATTTATCATATATATATACTATAGGTATCATCTCAGAATATCACCGATAGATTCGATCATTGAAATGAAGATTGCCGAAGTGCAGGGCTGCCAACTCCTAATTTTCAAATGGGGTACAGAAGATTTATAATGGGGTACAGTTGGGGTACAAATTTTTTTAAAATGAGGTACACCATTGGGGTAACTCATTTTCTNTGATTAACTATTTGAAAATATCTATCGTCGATACTAAAAAACCGAAGTATTGCAAACGAAAATTGCACTTCTCAAGACTTCTACGACAGAATTTAGTAAACATCACAGAATATCGGTTAAAGAAATCTATTTGAAGCGTATTAATACACTGTCACTAGAGGTGTAAGCCGCTGGTCTAAGCCGCCGCCGCTACGGAATCGTAGATAATTTTAAGAATTTTTTAGGAGCCGCCGCTGTGAAAGAGTAAGTTCAGCCGGTGCGCCGCCGTCACGAACGAAAACTTTTGATAATAGTATAAGGCGCCGCCGCCGTTGACATCGATACATATGCAAAGACGTTTTTTTTCTTTTTCTGGTTGTCAAAGCCGCCGCCGGTGCAGAAAAACATAAAGTCTAGCAGCAGCTGCCGCTTTGGAAGAAAAAATAAAAAATGACGCCGCCGCTGCCGGTGTACAAAAACATAAAGTCTAGGAGGCGCCGCCGCTATGCAAAAAAAATTGACCGTTAAAGGCACCGCGGCTGTTTGGCCCTTCGGCTTACACCTCTAACTGTCACTGACATTTGATGAAGTACTATTTTGTACCAACTACAATATGTTAATTCACAGCTTTCAGTAGTTTTTCAAAGCATATCTTTTGTACTATTTTACGTTGGTTGACAAGCTTCAAGATGTAAGTTGACACAAAGATTGATAATAGTTGAAAGCTTTTTTTAGTTTCAAAAACTTTTAAATTAAGAAAATGATAGGAGAAAACCTACTGATGAGAAATCGAAAAAAAAGTACATGCTCAAAAATTGAATTCGGAAATTAAAAGATTTAAAAACTCAATTATCTATGTTTTGAGACGTGACAGTTAATCAATGACTAATCTAACGTAGATTTATTTTCATAATGAATCGAACTTTTCACTCACATTCATTCATTTTTACTCGGAGTCAGAGATGTCCACAGGACGCTTTTTTCTGCCCTGCCCTGCCCTGTGAAAAAAATGATGCACAAAAAAAATTGCGCCCTGCCCTGCCCTGCAGGACAGGGTAGGGCATAGACAAAACTTCAATTGCCTTCAAAAAGCCAAAAATTTCCTTGTAAAAGATTTGGATTAAAAATCAATAATAATGGCACTATTGTAATCTGATTTTAATCAGATATTTCAGCTTTGACATACAATTTTTTTTTTAATTTTGATTTCATTTTAATCTTTTTTTAGTCGATTATTATCGTGGTTGTAGTATTCAATTAAAATAGATTAAAATGAAATCGACGTAAAAAAGAATAGTCTTTTAAAGCTGAAAAATCTATTTAAAATCAGATTATAATAGTGCCATTATAATCAATTTTTAATCTGATTTTTATTCGACTATTTTTACATGGATTTTTCTGATTTATTATTTAAAATACAAAAATTGCTTTTTGTCTGTTGTTAGAAGGTGTTGCAATTGACGAGATGTATGTAATGAATTAGTTGTAGTAGCAGAGATGCTTGAGCAAGAAGAAATAGGAACAATATTCTCATTAATAGGAGTAGAACGAATATCAACAAGTAAATCATCAGTCGTCAAACTCATAGTTCTGCTTGTGCTTTGCGCAGTTAATCACAAACAAATGACCGACAAGTACAAATATATATCCATTAGATATGCACCAAATCCAAGTCTAGTCAAGTTCAAGTCTAACTCTGGATTTGAATTTGACTAGATTTGACTGGACTTAAACTTAATATATTTCCACAAAAATTATAATTTTTCATTGTCAAGACCACTCAAATCCAATCAAACCCAAATCCAAATACAGTTAAAACTAGGAATTGGATTTGACAGGAATCAAATTTGATGCATCGTCAATATCCATCGTTGTGATTCTTTTGTTTCTCCAATAATTTCTACTATTCTCATTGTAATGTACCGCTACCGTGCCATCACGATTAGTCTGTTACGAGCTGATAACGAAATCTTTCTTGTTCTTCTATTATGCCACATTTGTTAGATAAATAAAAAAGCTTTTTATAAAACGAAACTTTTAATTCCAATGAGCAGGGTGCAAAGGTCTTGCCCTGCCCGGTAAAATAGCAGGACAGAGCATTTTTAGAAATTTTGTCCTGCCCTGTGGACATCTCTGGTTCATATTGATCAAATTAGCTCTTTATGTAGTATATGAAACTCAACCAAAGCTACTTCTTTGACTAGAAAAACAACTGTCAATGTATTATTTTTCTATCAATTGAAAAAGATGACTTTCATTGAAGAATAATAATTCATATTTAGTTTAGATGTTCGACGAAACTGAATCATAAGTATTCATGCTCGAATTTCCTCATCTGCGTATATTTGATAGGTTTCGATGACTCAAGTATAAAGCATCTATGAGACAAAATCTTTTTTTTTTAGATTAAATTTCGATTTTCTTAGACACAATCGTTCGTATGATCTAAAACTGAGCGTCAAAATGAGCTAACACCGAGCCATCGATCTATTGGCTAAAGTGACAGCTAGAAGGCTCTGCAGAGAAATTATATACCCATCGAAGCTGAAATTGACGCTTGAATTCCCATCAAATAACCAGCAGGGTTTGAAGTAAAATTTTATTATTCTATACGATTCTTTAATATGAAAAAGAATGAAACTTCTTCACGATTCGCATTTTGATTACGAACATGTATTAAAAGTGGTCGCATAATAGCTTCTATGTTGTTAATGGTAGGGTCTTTTTTTCAATCGCTTTGTTGACATAGGAGATGATCACCATACGTCTCATCTCTTTTGATCTTTGGATCTCCTTAATGTTGTCTCCTTTTTCTGTTTCGTGAAAAAAACAATTCATAGCAAAAAGATGAAGAAGTTATGCTCAAGGTTATTTCTCATAATCATCACAATGAAGAATAAAAAAATAAGACATGTTCGAATAGACACAAGTTTAGTTTGTCATAAAAACATTTCTGTAAATAAATTTTTGTTGATCAAATGATGATTGTTTTTTTCTTAAAAGTTTATCCCATTCTTGATATTCTTACTTAAACATAGGTGTAGACAAAATCACTGTATCATATACAAAAAAATAGTTGTTTTGACAAACTAAATTGCTGTTTATTCAAACATATCTCATTTTGTTTTATTCTTCATTGCAATAATAATGAGAAATAAGCACGATTATAGCTTCTTGGGTATGAACATTTTTTATCACTAAAAAACCTATATTTGATCACTGAATCTACTATTAGTAAAAAAAGCAATAACTAGATGAAGAATAGTTGAAGTTACACAGAATAACATGACAAAAAACTATTTAAACACAAAATACAATAAATAGTAGTACCATAGATACAGTATCGAGAAAAAATCATGATAGTATTGCTATTTCAAGTTTTTCATCCTTACTTCGAGCGATAGTCAAACAGCTGCAGTCATACAAAGAGGTGATTCAGCGCTTTGCCCTCCTCACTCACATTATCAGTCTTAAGCCTATCCTCCATAAAAAATCTTCATCCTCACTCAGAGACGTAGCGAGAGGAGAGGATGCATGCGGTGCCTGTGCAACCCCTTGGCCAAAAAACATTTACAGAGAGTATGTAAAAACAACTTTTCGCGAAACAAAAAATATGTTCCTGCTGACGTGCCCCAGCGCCTCCATAAGAAATCCGGATCTTCCTTGAAAAATTCCTGGCTACGGTCCTGCCCTAACCTATGCTCATACCATCCATAGACTAGTTCGAACTCAGATCTTAGAATGGCATAGGCTAATTCTAGATTGGTCTGAATTCGAGACTGACCTATGACATATATATATATATATATAATCGTAATTGTCCAATCGGTTGTTCTTCGCTTATATCAGGTTACATTATCTTTGTTCTTTGGTTTATTTCTCAAATGCTTATTAACTAGGAATTCATTGTAACTTCCGATCTTTCTAAAATTACATCAATACATGACAATCATTAATATCAACTCTGTAAACTGATACCATACCATCGAATAAATGTTAATAATGCTATCAATGAGAATTGATGAAGAAAAATGAAGTCTTTTCTTTTCAGAGTTGATATAAATATATTAAGTTTTCAATATGTGATTCAATCAATGAGAAATATTATTTGGGTTCTTTAGTTAATATATAAGAATAGAAAACGTTTCTCATTAGAGCCGGAGAATTTTTTTTTTCTGCACGCTTTCTTTTTATCAAAAGAAAAATATCCTTTATATGCAGTTCATTTATATGCCATCATTATATTGCATAGATTGATCTCAAAAGAGTCTGAATGAATAAAGAAAAAGAATAGATGAAAGTGTTCTTTTTTTGTTACCAACACAAAATTTGATGTGATTGACAGAAGCTCGACAACTTTTTTTTTGCTTGCTTGTAAATATACAAGTGCTCTTCGTCGATTCTATAAACTCATTACATACAGTGATTGACAGAAATTTTCAATGTTGTTCTCTTCCATATAAATGCGTCTCGAGAAAATCGACGGTAAAATGAGCTGAATAAATATTTGTCAATTTTTTATTATATGAAATTATAATTTTTATAGATTTGTTTGTAATGTATTGGCAACCTAATGAAACAAATTTCGTTAACCGTTTATAAACGAAGTACACGTTTAATTGGAGTTTTTGTTGCAATAATTATATTAGGTATTATTCGATGGTTTTTTGATGGATCAGCAATATTTAATACAACTACGTCTTATTCATTGTCTTCTTCTTTATTAATAAATAGTAATAAAAATCAAATTGTTTTCTATCGTCGACAAACATGTTCATGCACACGACCTATTCTTCAATATCAATCTAATCTTATAATTATTGATGAAAAATCTTCATCTCTTTGCAGTCAATATTCAACATTTCGTGGGTTTCATCAACGTATTATTGCTATTAGTATGTATGGTCCAAAAGAGAATGTAATATTTAGTTTCAATAGGTCATTATATTTCCTCTATGAACTTATTGATGATATGAAAAAAACATATCCTGGTTGGATTTTACGAATATATCATGATGCATCAATTAAAGACGACATTATTTGTCCAATTGAATGCGCTCATAATAATGTTGATTTTTGTAATGCAAGTTCATTAGGTAGTTTAGGTAGTGTAGACAAATATATTCCACCAAAAATTTGGCGCTTTTTACCAGCTGGTGATCTACTTGTTGATATAATGGGGAGTCGGGATCTTGATTCACCATTAGCACAACGTGAATTAGATGCTGTTAATCAATGGTTATCAACAGATAAAGCATGGCATGTAATGCGTGATCATCCGTTACACACTGTTCCAATGCTGGGTATGGATTTCAATAGTTGTATACATAGATTAGAAAACTTTAGTGACCATATACAAGAACATCATTTTTGAATATGATAGATTAAGGACTATCCCAAAAGTAGTGAAATTTTGGCAGATAAAATTTCATAGAAAAGAGTTAAACAAGTATTTGTGCTAGTAACCATGCTTAATTACGTACAATCAATTTATTGAAGCTATTTTTCAAATAATCGTTAGTTAAAAAATTCATCATCTCGGTCATGACACTCTATATAGTAATTAGAGATCATTTGATTGATGAAGTTTATCAATTAGATGAAGCATCTGAAAAATATGTAGTAATTTATCTATAGTATAGATAAGACGTTTTTTTCAGAATTTCTTCGGAAACTCAATGAAGTACTAGCATAAGAGATATCGAAGTTATAGAGACATAGGAGATATAGGTTATGGATGTTGTCGCATGTGTTTGTGTAATATTTTCTTTATCTCCTGTGGTGGTACTTAACTGAGTTTCTAAGAATATCAGTAGAAGACATCACATGGTAGTATATGTTGAGCATAAAATAATTCTGATACGTTCTTATATAGAATATTTGAAGTATCATTATGAATATAATAGTTGGACGTTGTCATAATGACTTTTTTCGATGGTTTGAACACTTTATACCAATCATCTGTATCTTCTCAATAACTGATTTATATATGATATATCGAAAGTTTGTCACCTACTATCACTTCTTGTATTCGCTATATTTCTTTAGTCAGTCATGTCTAACAAATTTGATTGATCGAAATAGTTTTTAATCGTTGTATTTAACACTTTGACCGAGATAATGAGTCTTTTAATCTAAGATCATTTGAACCATAGATTCAATGAATGCCTTCAAGCAAATCGATTACATATAAATAAACATGACTAATACTTAGGGTTGACCAAAATCTTAAGATAAGAGATATTTTGAGTTTTATTTTATTAAATGTTCCAAGTAGTCCCCATAATTATTTATGCAAAGATCCATCCTTTCTAAAAATTTCTCAAGCGTTTTTTAAATTCTTCTTCTGAATATATTTAACTATCTTGAAAACTGCATGAGTCAATGATTTTTTATTCGTTCGATCTGTTAAATTACGCTTGATATAATCATTTAGCCAGAAATCGCACACTGCAAGGTCTGGTGAAAACGGTGGATGTGGCATAATGTCGATGTGTTGTTGTGTCAAATAGTTAATAACATCTGGATGAGTATGGGGTCGAACAGTATCATGAAGTAATTTTATACCTAGTGTATCAGATGATTTTCTTTGAATCAATATTTCCTTGACAACAGGCTTCAGACAATTTTCAATATAATAGGTGTGTTCTATATTCTCGCCTACATCTACACTATGTGTAAGTAGCGGACTATTTGATTTAAAGAATATAGAAAACAAAGTTTTTGGTTCAAACCTGCTTTGTCGAACAGTAGTCGTTGTTTATTCACCTTCATTAATCCACTTTACATTTGTTGACTTGTGTCCAATCTGTCTATAATAAATCCATGTGTCATCATCTGTAATAACATTACATAATCGCCATGAACTGTCTCGAAACTTGATTAGATTTTCACAAAAAAGTCTAACTCGTTCTTGCTTTTGTTCATCATTAAGTTGATGGGGCACCCAACGCGATGTAACAGTTTTCATCTTTGGACAGTCATGGATAATTCGTTCTATTGCACCATGAGAGAGAGAGAGAGAAATCTCAGCTATAATATCATCATAAGTTGAATGCGGATCATTATTGATAACCTGTTTTACTAGTTCAATATAACCATCTGTAAGTTTGGAAATCAGGCGACCACTATGCTAGTCATCATGGAATCTTCTCTTCATTCACGAAAACATTTTGTCTATCTTGCAATTGTAGGATATGATGAAGCATTAGGTTCCAATGCTGTTATAAGTTCTTCATGAATTTTTTTGCATCTAATTCCAAAATAGTCTAAACTTTGATATAGTATAAATTCAATTCATTATCTACTTTTTAACTTTTTTTTGTAGTAATCGGATTATATCTGAAAGAATATCAAAACTAAGCCCAAAAAAGATTTATTATATATATAGATTGTTGTAGACAAGACATGGTACTACTTATTCATATAACAAACTGTATAATGTTAGTTAGATGATAAAATTGCCAGCAACGTCATTAGAAATTTTGGTCAGATCTAAGTAGCTCAAATACTTGCTAAAACAGAAATTTGATTAACTCTTTTATGTTGGACTTTTATGTGTCAAAAGTATTACTTTTAGTATGCCCTAAGTACGTAAGTTTTGAGAAGGAAAAACATTGTTTAATAATGATATAATGCTAAAATCAAGTTTATACGAAGTGAGAACACATGCTGATTAAGTCACTTTGTTAATAATAAATTATCTTTTTTTTAGTTCAACTGTATTATTCTAGGTGGTCTGTGGGGTTTTCGTCCAGCACTTAATCGAACAATGGCTAGTATATTTCTAAAAGAAATTCTAAATCATCAAATAGTTAGCCGATATACTGGTCGAGGTGATCAAACATTTTTAGCAGATCATATATGGCCTTATATTCAAGATCATCTTATTGCACATGATAGTCATTTATGTACTACATCGTATGGAAAAAATTCTCAACCATGGCCAACACGTCGACCACTATTGAATGAAACAGGTTGTTTTGTTGGATGTGTACGTCCTTGTTGTAAAATATTGAAACATCCATTTGGTAAATGTCCAATGGCTTGTCGACCAAAAAATCATACAGACTGGACAATGTGTTAAAGAATCTTTTCGTATTTTTTTTTATTTCATAAAACTGTAAGTAATATATTTATCGATTGCTATTATAAGTTTTTCAACATAATTATTACTTTTTTTCCAATGATAATTTAGTCAGATGTTTGTCTGTTTTAATTTTACAATCAAGATTGAAATAATTTACAAATCAAAAAAAAATCTTAGCGGTTAAATTATAAAGGGATAAAGAGTTGTAATTATAAAAATATTTTCAAAATAAATATGTGAATAGATATAGTCGAATGGGTTTATACATGATTAATAAATACGTCGATAAAACGTATACATGTCATAGGTTCGAACCTTTCATTCGGCACTGTCTCCTCAACGCCACAGGCAGGATAGACATTAGTTCACCTGGCCTCTCCAGTTGTGGAGAAGAAAAAATTCAGCATGATAGGAAGCTGGAGAGATTTTCTCTGTCTCATCTAGTGCCGTTAATTCATACTACATTTATATTTTTTCGAAAATTTTTTTTTCTAATATATCATATATGAATTTAATCAAATCTATTCGACAAATATGATTTTTATTTTTCAAATAAAATAATATTTTTTTTTGTTACTTTTATTTACTACAAAATAATGCAAGAAAGATTGACATCAGTATAATATTGTCTATATCGATTAATGTTATAATGATACATTGCAACATAAATGGAAGACATAAACATGTCATTATATTATTATGATTTCGATGTTTTCGAAAGAAAGAAAAAGCTAAATCAAACCTCCATGGCATGAAAAAAAAATTCTATTCTGTCTATTGAGTTTTATATTTTGTGACTCACGAATCGAGGAAGAGGTTCGTTGTCCTGACGTTTCATTTTATATTTTCTTTGATGTTTTTGTTATTTCATGTGCTCTGACACATAAACTTATCGTTGTTTTTTTTTTGCTGTATTGTTTCTTCTTTTGTAATTCTTCATGAGTCAAGAGATTGACATTTATTCTATTAACAACATATGCTGAAATTTTTCCTTCATTCGGGCAATGCTTATATTGATATTCGATCATATATAAATCGTTTTACATATATTGATTAGTAACAAAAAACTACATATGAAAAATTCGATAAATAGATTCGAAAATTTATCTCGAGAAATTTTACTTGAAATATTTGATTATCTTTCAATAAATGATTGTTTTAATGCATTTTATAATCTTAATTGGAAAATAAGTTCAACATTAAATTTATCTGGCTTTTCAATTGATTTAACAACAATATCACAACAAACATACAATGAATTTTATAGAAAAATAATTTTTTCAAATTATTATTGTCAAATACGAAAATTAAAAATAAGCAATGATTTAACAATAAATTTACTTGAAAATTTTTTAAATTATTTTAATATTGATGATTTTAAACAACTTCGATCAATAACATTAATTAAACCATCATATATGACATTAGGTAGTTTTGCTTTAATTATACCTTATCTTAGACAACTTGAACATATATCAATTGATTCATATTCATATCCAGATAATTTTTTTGAATTAGTTACAACAACATCATCATCGATTAAATCATGTTATTTACCTGGATTAGAAATTCAAGATGAATTATCATTTCAATCAAAAATTGAATATCTTACAGTAACAATTGAAAATATAACATTACTTCTCAATTTATTAGCTGTATTTCCTCAATTAAAATATCTTAATGCTTCATTACGATCAACATTAGATATAGACGAAAATAGTCTACCCATAATAAATATTATTTCATGTAAAAATCTTCAAATATTGAAACTCAATATATTAGAAAGATCAAGTATTGATTTTTATGAAATCGAATACTTTTTTCAACAAACATCATTTGATTATCTTAAATCATTTTCATATAATTGCACAACAAAGTCTTTAAATCATATTGATGTTATACGTTGGAATGAAATTCTATTAACTTATTTATCTGAAATAGAAAAATTTCATTTTTTTCTTCAAATTCCATATAATTCATGTACATACATTAATATCAAACAAATATTTAATCATATACAAACAAATCTTTCTTATGCATGTCCATTTTCTTTATCAATTAATCATTTATATTATATAATTCATACAAATATTTATCCTAAAACTCATTTTGATTTATCATTTAAATTATCTGAATCCGATGCATGCTTGAATTATGATCCAATTAATTGTGATACAACAATGAAATTTTCAAAAGTTAACTCACTTATATTAGATAGTAATTCAATGTCATCATTCACAATATTACCAAAAAATATAAAATATTTACAAATTCAAGGCTATCAGAATAGTATAAATCTTGATAAATATCTTAAACAATGTTCAAATCAACTTATATCACTAAAAATCTTTGGATTACCAAATGAGTTACCACGTATGCCTAATCTTCAACAATTAACTATTCAAAGAGTTATGTTTAATTTAAATATGATATCAAAATTATCATTTTTATGTCCTCATCTTGAATTACTTACAATTGAAATTGATTGTATTCAACAATTTGGCCAAATATTAGATCAACTTCGTTATAAATCTAATTTGACTGAACTCAAATTTATACGTTCGTTTTCAAGAGATCCCAATCAAACATGGACATCATGGCTTAATGAAACCGATCAATTAGTTATTAATAATATAATCTATGAAACAAAAAATTTATTTTTATTTATTTGGTTATGAGAAAAAAGAAAACAAACAATATTTATATCCATTGTGGATTTTCATCAATTGGATTTAAATGACTACAACGTGGAAGAATTGATCGTTTAATTGAATGTCGTTGCCGATTAGAAAATTTATCATTATTATTATAAAGAAGACGTTTAAGTGGAATAATGTTTTTTGATTGCCGTTTATTTCGACGTGGTGTTGATGTCAGATTGGGTTTAAGTAATATATTTTGATTAGGAGAATTTTTTGGTGTACTTGTTACACATGTTGATGTAATAAAAAGACTTTTTTTTGGTGATAATATTAAATGTTTTTTTCTTTTACAAATTTTTCTATATTCATCATATGTTGTCGAATGTAATTTAGTTTGTTTACGAAATAAATATGGACATTGATTATTTAATAAACATTTTTCATTTGTTATTATCGTTGATGATGAATTTAATGTTATATTAAATGATTGAAAATTTTCTAAATAACTATTGTTTGGTTCAATCATACGTAATTCTGATAATAATTGATTAATATTATATTTTATTTCTTGTATTCGTTCATGTTTATTTGACATAGCTGATGATAGAAATAATACTTTATCACTCATCTAAAAGACAACAAGAAAAGAAACGAATCTGACTCCTACAACATATATCCATTAGATTACGTATCAATAGTTTTCAATGACATGAATGTCTGTTATTATGATTACAGAAATGAGAAAGATGAATCTAACTTTAGACTGTATAAAAAAAAGAAGATAGAAAGAAATAGCTCAGCAGGATCCAATCTTCAAACAAATCGGCTAAAATGCACATCCCATGACGCCTGCTGCTGCCGATGATGTACTGTACTTGTCATTGGCAGTGTTGACAACTAAACTAGTCCATCAACACATAACATATATGTGCGGATCCCATGCCGAGAACAAGCATGATTGATTATAATGAACTAATTTTGTCAGTTAATTATTGTTATCATCAACTTACTTGTTCTAATGTCTATTTGAACAAAAATGAAATATAGAAAAAAGAAAAACATTTCTATTGATTGGTTCAATCAACTGTTTTTTTTTTCTTCGAATGCCGGAAAATTTATTCATTGGACAATCATCCGAAACGAAGCTTCTATGATCATCATTGATGCATGTAAAAATAGTAGCAGTATCATTTCGCACATTATTCTATCATTAATAAGGGTTAGTGAAGATTGTTGCCGAGGGTTTGTTTGATCAATATACAATAGAATTCAATCCTATAGGCTCAGTAAACATTAAAAAAAAATGATCAAACATATAGTAAAAAAAAAAACAAGAAAAGTAGACTCAAAATTAAAAAGAAACACAATTTAATCATTTGAATCAATAAAAATCTATCATTCTATTAGAATCTTATTCAATAAAAACGACTATTAAATATGAATTTTGTCTTTTTTTTTGACACTTTTCATTTTTTTTTTATTGTTGTTGCTAACGTTCTTCACATTCTCGAAACAGATGTGCTTTTCACAAGTACTCTCCTATTTTATGTCATTCTCCACCTATTTCCTTCACTTGAATGATGATGGTGTAATTGATATATTCATGTTACAGGTATGTTGACAATATGGCACGAGCAGTCACTCGTATAATAATGATAATGAATATGTTCGATCGATCGATCGTTAAAAAACAATTGTATTATTATTGTTCTGATGTAATATTCTTTAAGCATCTGTTTCATACATATATATCATTACGTCAAGTCCAAACACTATATACAAAAAAAAAAATATGAAACGAATGGGAAGAAGAAATGATGTTGACATGTGTATCATGATTAAAAATTGAATCAAGCTGTGTGATTAAAGAAGCGGTATGAATCACTATTTTTATTTCGTTTCAAAAAAAAAGAAAGACTCAGACTCACTGGTCAATATAACCCAGTAATATTTTATAAATAGATGTCTGAAGGGAAATCTTTTCGTTTCTTCCTTTGTTTTCAGAATATTGCAAAAAAAAACAGAAATATGAAAAACGTACATGTATGTCAACAAAGAAGTAATATTTATTCTGTCACTAAAATAATGCTCTTCGAAGAAAAAAAGAAATACTAATTTTTATTTCTTAATACTCAACATAGCGTCATACTTTCATATCTACGCAGTAGTGGGTGTTTTTTCTATTTTGTTGATGTTAATAGTGAAGTGGGGGAGAGAAAAGTAAAGAACAGAACGAGAAGAAAAATGAAAATTTTTTTTGTCTATAAAATCATCATCGCTATAGTCCATTTCTAGTTATAATTCCGAAAGTCGGCTTTTGTTATTAGAACAATCAAATGAGTAGCCTTCAACGTCGTATTAAAAATATCTATAAAATTCCTTTACTTGATATGGCAGAGGATCAAACAAAACCTCAATTTGAAGATCCACGATCACCATCCGCTAATATTTCAAGGTATACACAAATATTATAAATGTAATTAATATATTTTTTTTTTGTTTCTAGAACTCCTGTAGAATTGCATACTTATCATATACCAAATATGCCACCAAAAAATATTATTCCAATTAATTCAACTAGATATTAAGTGATCTTTATTTTTTCTTTGGTGTAGTAATATAAAATTTTCAAGAATAAAAAAAAAATGTTTTTACAATAAAATGTTGTACGTAATAATGATATTTGTGTTAACAAAAAAAACATCGAATACGAAAGAAGTTAATCAAGTATACAGTAATCAAACAGATAGGAAATGAAGCTTTTTATTATGATAATTAAAATGACAAAGAGAAGAATAGAACATGCGTACTGTTTTTGACAGAATTATGTGATAATAAAATGACAGTTCAATTAAAGAAAAATAAACACACAAGAGATTGATGTTCTAGTTTCTTATTCATTATTTTACTAATTTCATCTACATAAATCGAATATTGTCTTTTTGTTTTGTGCTAAATATCTAAGACAAATATTTATTATTAAATATATATTTGAATATTTGAAAGAACCATCATGTTGATTGAGTTTTCTTCTATTAGTAACACTCGAACTAAGTCACTGCTCGCCTTCACAGATTAGAAAGGAAAAAAAACAAAACTAATGCACCTTGTCCTTAGCTAATTGACTTTTTTTGTCACTTTAGTTTTCTTCTCTTTATCTATCAAGACGACTGATTTATAGCATATTGTTTTTAACTTTCTGTCTACCTGCTCATGTTTTGAGTATAACAAACCACTTATGTCAGGTGCTGCTTAACGGTTTCACTTGTTTTTTTTTGAGGTGACGACAAAAAGTGACTTGATATAAGTGTTTTTAAGTGTAATTATACAGATTGGTAGATAATCAGTAAGAAAAAGTCAATATGACTATGAAATTTTATTAAATACTTTTTATAATAATAAAGAAACTTCTCTTTTATTTAATATGACAATAGACTTTTATCCTCAAATAATAGTTATATATTGTTACTTATAATCACACATTAATTTCTAGAGAATAGTATAAAAAAATAGTGTATATCATTCATAAGATGTGTATTGATGAAAGTGATTAGACTCGATAGAGATAAATGGGATATGATAAAGTATGTCAAAAAAATGATGTTTTTAATCAATTGAATGACAAAGTGGTATATTAAATTTTAAAAACAACACATACAAGTAATATATTCACATAGAATGTAGAATGGAATTGTGATAAAATGAAAGTGGTTTTTTTTTGGAATTTTACCATCAAAGATAATCAGATGAATATTAATAAAAAATTTTCTTCTAATCAGTCTTACGAAGCTGCGAGTTCTTCCAGACTCGAATCCACAAGAAAGTGAACCCACAAATCCATACTTGCTTGATCTCGTTTACATAAATACAATTAAAACTGTTTCAGATAGATGAAGGTTTTCGTGTTACTACTAATTTGACGATTTTCAATGATAAACATTTTAAGCATTGCATCATGAGAAAACGAACTACAAGGAATAAATGTACGTTGACTTTTTTTCTGAAAGTAGCCAATAATTAGCTACAACCTTAATTTCTTTACTTGTTCATGTACACAAACGGGTGTAAGATATTGGCGGGGAAAAAAGTTGGGATCGTGTCCACAAAAATATCAATCCACAGCTCGCTAATCAGCGTTCAGTTCACAATAAGAAAGATTTGTTCCTAGTAGGAGAGAAGGCTGACTACTTTCAGAATTCGCTATACACACTTGCCGAAATGTCCATGGTAACACTGTCACTACTACTGCGGTCAGAGTGACACAACAGCTTTTTTCCGAAGTTATTGCAAAACTGCACGAACTTGTGTTAGATCTCCGTGTTCGCAAATGTCAAAGTCAGAAATCGAATGAATTAATGACGATAGCACTTGTCTAAACCAGCGATGTCAGTAGCTTTTGAAATGTTTATTTTTTCAAATACAATTGTAGTAGTGACGGTATTTTGTCCTAATTCATCGTGACACGGCGACAGCATGTTTACAGCTACGATAGATATTTCATCTACTTCTAGTGAACCAAAATGAATTAGAATTATTGTATTTAGACTTAATTTTAACAATCTAAATCTATTCAAAAGCTTCATCATCGAAGAGTTAAATAGCAATAAAGTACTGACAATGAATCAAATTCTTTATGACTAAAATATTCAAATATTATATTATATGAACTGCTATGTTTATCAACAAAATCTATACTTCCAAAACTTGTGTATTCTACTTCCATCTGTATTGTTAAAATTTCATTTGATTAAAATTTCATCCAATCAAATTTGTTTTTGTTTCGACATGAACGAGCATTATTGCATGTATAAATATGCTATGAAACATAAGGAAATATTCTTGCATGTATTTAAATTTTCATAATGTCTTTAAATGATATGGAATTATTTGATGATGTAGTCGAAGATGGTGGTATTGAACCACATCCATTATCAGATGATGATTTACCAAGTGATGACGATAATGATGATGATGATGATGATGATGAATTTGATAAAACAGATATTGGTCATGTAAGATTTTACCATTACTATTATTGTTATTATTATTTTATATTGATAATTATATCATTATAGGATTCAATTAGTATTAAAAAACCATTGGCTGGAATGTTACCAAATACATATGAAGGAAAAACAGCCGAAGAACTTTTTCCAGCATTTAAACCTAATGCCGTTAGTTAATTAAATAAGAAATTCGAACAACATGACTAGGTTTTCTTTTTTTTTGTTTTGTTTCTACTATTAGATTCTTCAATTTAATAAAATATTTGGTATTGGTAAATCAAATCATTTACCAAAACTCTGGGTAAATTTACGTAAACGATCTGTAAATGGGGTAAATTTAAAAATTAATAATTTTTTTGAAAATTATCTATTTTATCTTAGAATGTTGATCATCAAATTCGTGAAGCAACAATAACTGAATGTGCAGTTGATCATGAAGTATATTTATAAAATAAAACTTTTCTTTTTTTGTTATTATATTAAATAAATTTTTGTTTCTTAGACACAATTTCTTGGTCGTTTACCTCCAGTAATAAATGAACCAATATCAGATGGACAAGATTCTTCTTTAAATGATATGAAAATAGCTAATTGGCGTGTTGGTCCTGCTCGATTATGGTATGATCAAATTGGTTTAAGTCTTGATTTACCATCATATGATTATGGTTTTAAAACAAAACAACCTCAAATATTACAAACACAAATATCAAAAGAACAACCAACAAATGATAATGAATTAACAGGACATGCATCATTACCTGTTAATTTAACACGTTGGGAAGATGATATTATATATGATACATCAATATTACGTGATAAACTTGATTTAAATACACCTAAAATTCGATATTGTGGTTGGGTACCAACAACAAATTATCGTACATTAGCAAATTTTCAAAAGAATGTTTTTGGTATGAAAATTTTTTTTTTTTTTTTTTTAACTAAATTTCTTAAAATATAAAGCAATTAATTTTAATTTGATTTCTTTTTAGGAAAAAATGTTGATTATTTGGAAAATACAAGCAGTAAGATCAGTTATAGTTTATTATATGATGAAATTTATTGAAAAATATTTTAGATGATGACGCTAAATATAAATCATGGTATTCTATTTTTCCAATTGATAATTATGATTTAATGTATGGAGATTGGGAAAAAGATATTATTATTGATCCAGAAGTAATATTCTTTCCTATATTTAAATCTTTTTAAGGTTTCATAGAAACAGTAAAAGGCGAAATCAATATTAAGATAGAAACGTGACACGTCTCTTACTTTTGAACATTGTCACTGTAGTGACCATTTCTCTGGTAGAGCTTCAAATCCTTCATTGTCTAGGGGTTTAGTTTTTTTCTGCTTCAGATTTACAAAAACGTAGATGCACAACTCCCTAGATTTTACTATTTGTGAGTCTCGTCTTTGACAATGTGAATATTTTTGTTAAAAAACACTTAAAAATATATATGCAATTAAAATGCATTAGTTTATTCTTGTATTGATTTTAGAATATGGAACGTATACGTGAACCACCAGAATTAGTTCTTGATGAAAATGATGATCATTTAATCTTCGAAATACCTACTGATCCAAATGATTGTCAAACTCGTCAACAACGTATTCGTGATCCACGAGATAAACCTGATGGTAATACATTAATTAATCCAGCAAAAGCTGGAAAAGTTCCACATAAAGTAAATCAAAATTTCTATTTTTATCTTCGAAAAAAAGAATGATAATAATATTTTTCTGTTTTTGAAATTTTTTTCCAGGATACTCGAGGACGTGTTACACGTCGAGTTCTTACGGGTAGTGGTATATTAAAAGAAGCTATGGATAATGATGATGATGCTAATGATCAAACCGATAGTCCGAAAAATGATTTTTGGAATTTATCAAATGATGAATATTATAATCCACGATTAGTTGATTCTGTTGGAAAAAATCTTGGTACACTTAATCTTCAAGTAATTATCTTTATCTTTTTATATTCATGTAAATTATTCATAAACTTGTGTTTTCTTTTTCGTTCAGCATGCTACACCAGCTGTTGAACTTTGTACACAACTATTTCCAACACATTTAAATGCTACAAAATTACGTCATTTTCATCGACCAACAATTAAAAAATTTTTACATGGAAAATTAAAACCTGGCGAATATCATCCTGTTCAAACCGTACAAAAAATATCTGATACTCGTGCAGCTGTAAATATGAATATTCAATATTTTGATTCTTTTTTTTATTTTGTTTATTGTTAAAATAAATCTTCTATTTCAGGAACGAGAAAAAGAACGACAAGCATATGGTGGTGGTGAAATGTTTTATATGCGTCGTTTACAAGATTTAAGTGCTTTAGATAGTGATTTAGTATTAGCTGAATATTGTGAACAATATCCACCTTTACTTAATCAAATTGGAATGGCAACAAGAATTAAAAATTATTTTAAAAAGGTTTTTCTTTTAAATAATATCTGTTTTTTTATTTTCTTGATTCATTTGTTTTATGTGTAAATTATTTAGAAACCAGGTAAACAAGATAATCCACCAATGTTAGATTATGGTGAAATTTCTTATGCTCATA